ATTCATGTACAGTATCAGTTTTTCCTGCTCCATCAAACTCACATTGAAACTGTTGATCACTCACCGACTTTTTAGCGTTTCTTTCTTTCTTACATTTCCATAAAATTGATTTCAAAATGAATATTTACGAAAGATGTATGATTGAAAACATATATTTTACATATTGAAAAGCATATATTCACATTCATTTAGTCAAAATATCTTAAGAGCACCAGACATTAATGCTAGGTTCACAATTTATTCATTCATTTTTGAAAATGAGAAAGGCGAATTTACAGATAAACACAACAGTTGTGATTTTGTTGTCATCCGTTTTCTTGCCTTTTTTTTGTCTTTAAACATTCTTGTTTAAAGACTGGGTAACTTTGTCGATTTTGTGCGATGAATGTGAATGTATTAAATCAATATTAAGATACACTCTTTATAACCTCAGACATGCCGCAGCAAATACATCATAAGGACATTATGGTGTTTTGTAGGATAAATATAGTATAACGTTTTCCTTCGTTATGCAGTTGTCTGTGCGTTATACCTAGCCAGGGATGAGAAACATTGCCCAATTTGGGATCAATAAAGTATATCTTATCTTATCTATACAGCATCATGAACCACTGGTTGGTTAGCCAAATTGTCAATAACATTTTTAGACTAAAAGCACACACCTCCGTTTTAGGCTACAGCTAAATCATTTTTCATGGCAACGTAAAACTTCTTCTTTGCATGACAGAAGATATATTTCATATTAATAATCTCAAATCCAAATAACATAAACACAAAGTAACCACATCTATGCAAATCCATCATCAGTACATTCCAAAGGGTGAATCAGAGCTTGTTTACTGTCTAGTGGTGGATGAAAGTGGCTCAAACTTAACCACTAAGTTCTTGTTGCGCTCCAGAAATTCACCTCTGGCTTTTTAAACAAACAAAGAGGGGCAACTAGGAAATAGGTGTTTATTTATGTTTATCTCTTGTAACTGTCTGACTAAACTTAACAGTTTATTGTCCCTTCATTTTTCAATGGGTGTCTGAATTGGTCTTGCTGGATGTGGCAGTTCCTGCTATCATAAATTAACTGATTAAGACAGGCCAATAAAAGTGAGGTTGAGCATTTGTAATGTGCCTGTCAGAAAATAAACATAAACAAAACATTTATTGCAATTAAATCAAATTGCTTGTTTGTCAGGAGTGTACTTTTTAACATGTTGTTTTAATAGAAGTGCACTGTGTCAACATGTATAGGAATCTGTTATGTTTATAAGTTACCAGTGGGGTCATTAGACTGTCATTTCATACATGTGCAGAATGGCAGTGTTTTAGGTAATTGTTGTCTGGTTACATAAGTAAGCCAGACTTTTTTGTAGTTTTCAGAAAATCTTAGAAATTACCAGAAAGAGGACTGAGAGAACCTGAGACGAGCAACCAACAGAGTGCAGTCCAGATCCAGATGTGTTGAATTAAATCCTTCTGTTGCATCCCAGAATGCCTCTAAGACTGCACTGGCTCGTAAATCAACGTGATCTATATCCATAACAGACCTCGCACAGACACACACGGCTTGCTTTTGCTGTTAGCTGCTACCTCTTAACTAGCTGCTACCTCTGTGTTTTTTTAACAATGACTCAGCAAAAACGCTCCGAGGCAGAAAACATTCACAGCCATTCTTTAAAATGTTGTCAAGTCAGGATGAAAGGAGAACACAGAATGGGGCTGTAATTTCCATGCAAATTTGCCATGTGGTACAAATCTTACATCCCTTTTTCCCAGCTTTATGTTATGCAACCTTACGGGAAATATTTTTTTTCCCGTTTCCCCGGCCTGTGCTATAGAGGCTGTAGATAAAAAGCACTATATTTTATTAAGTGACTTAACCTTACTTTTGTATATGAGATTGTATTTTATGCTTATACATGTATTCTAGAAAGAAATCATCAAAACACATCTCTGTTTTACTAGAAAGAGACCCACTGTAATATAAAAAGCTAGCCCACATAGAGTTTATTAATAAAATGATTACAACTGCAATCATTTAGCATCATCACTGTCAGGTTATTATCAGCAGAAAGTCGTTCTAGTTCCTTTTTTGTATCGTAAAGGCACTACATATTGCATAACCACTGAAATACATTGGATTAGGGTAAATAGTTAAAGGTAGGGTAGGTAAGTTTGAGAAACCGGCTCGAGATCGCTAGAATTTGAAAATACACAACCGGAGAAAATCTGCCACTTCCTTATAGAGCCCCTCCTCCAACACACACGAACGCGCACATGACCAATGAGGGCACGAGATAAGTTTGTGCACAGATGGAAGGCTGACAGGCAGGTAGGCCATCCAGTTATTTTAGCCGGGCCGGCTAAAATGATTGGTCGTGCTTTTTACAGTACTACGGCTTCCACAGATGACATTTTTTAATGGATTTTTTGTCAAAGCACTTAAGATATTCATTGCTATCGGGATGTTAAGAGCATTCCATGGAATATAACAAAAAGTGTATCTCGAGCAGGTTTCTCAAACTTACCTACCCTACCTTTAACTTCTACCAAACATGAAGAAACTTTAGACACGTCATTATCACATTATACATTTGATACGGCTCAAATGTTGGCAAACAGCAGAATGGGCTGTGTTAGAAATTAAAATCAATATTCAATGATGTAATTTAGCGTAAACACATAGTAAGCTTTAAAAACTGTTTTATTCTGAAAACAGTTCAGAGTAAAGTTTATTTTGAAAAGCTGTATCTAAAGACGTTGACAAAAATGACGACTTCCTGTGAAGATCGAGGTGGGCGGCCCCCTATGTCACAGCCCCCAGAGAGGAGGAGCGAAGGAGAGATGCAGGCGGGAGAATCAACGTGTGCTCGCTCTCTTCCCTTGGTACCAGCTGCGAGACAACACCGGCTTTGTCTCCCAACTACCCTTTGTTTGTTTCACTACCACGCTGCTTAAATTAAAGTAACCAATTTGAACCCTTTCAGAGACTCATTTGTCTCTTAATCTTTAAACTTCTTCCTGGACGCGAGAAAATCAGCACACATCAACAGCTGCCAAGAAACATGTTGGGATTGAGTGAATGTGCTCTTTCCAGTAATGCTCCATGTTTCTGATCATTATATTGCGGTCATACCAGTGGTATAAAATGGTATTTTAAACATAGTAATTAAAACATTTGGTCTTTTCCATTTCAAAGGATGTGAGAGAGTCTCTTATGTTTGCCATATAATTAACATTGATAAAAGAGTCAAAATGCATCTGTTTTCTTGTCCATCACATGTGATTTTAAAACCCCAGTACCATATTCTCATAGTGGTGCCGGGGCTCGGTTGTGTAAGCGTCTGTCTGGTAAACAGGAGATCTAAATCCATGTGGTTTCTGTTGATATCTCTTCTAATTAAATCATTCACCGCCTTTATTCTGAATTCCTGACATTATTCTTTGCGGCACTTAGTGTTAGTCAGTGAATGTAGTGCAAAATATCTTACAGAGTTATTAAGTCACAATGGAAGTGAAAGCTAGTGTCGGCAGTATACGTTTTGCGTTATTCTGTAAACATTCCATCTTTCACCAGATTGTAATTCAAGTTGTCCGAGAGAAAATTCCCCTCCCCTTGGCTCTGATTTAGTGGGCCAATCACAGGTCATTTCAGACGGCGGTCTTTCCTATTGGTTGTTCCACAAATGCAGATATTAGTGCACTTCCTTTCTTATGGTTAAAGCCTGAATCAACGGCAAAGTGTCCTTCAGAAAAAGTATATTTCCAGCATTAGCATTAACTGTCTAGACAGTAAAGCAAAGAGAGTCTAACTATACTGGCCAAGCAATTCAGAGATGGAGAGTTAGCCTGTTGCTAATTGTTGCTGCAGGCTAGCTACAGGCGCTATCTTTTGAAACGCTTTGCAGATAATATAACTTTGCAGGCCCATGTGTTTGCAAAGAAAACAGGACAGTAATAAACATAGAATTGCTGCTCTATAACAAGCAAAGGGATATCAATCCTTAGTAGGTTGATGTTTGAATGAAATGGCTATAGTACTTGGATTAGGACGGAAAGGAGTGAGGACTATATTCAGCGGTTTTCTTTTTCGATTTGTTTTTTAGCCTTTTTCCATAAAACTGCCTACTTAAATACCAATATGCTGACAGATTGTTAGGGAATATTTGGCTAAAAATAAACTGCGTGCACAAGTCTTAACTGAGAGACACATTTAACCATAGTGCCCCTTTAAAGGTAGGGTAGGTACATTTGAGAAACCGGCTCGAGATCGCTAGAATTTGAAAATACACAACCGGAGAAAATCTGCCACTTCCTTATAGAGCCCCTCCTCCAACACACACGAACGCGCACATGACCGGGCCGGGCCGGCTAAAATGATTGGTCGTGCTTTTTACAGTACTACGGCTTCCACAGATGACATTCTTTTATGGATTTTTTGTCAAAGCATTTAAGATATTCATTGCTATCGGGATGTTAAGAGCATTCCATGGAATATAACAAAAAGTGTATCTCGAGCCGGTTTCTCAAACTTACCTACCCTACCTTTAAGCTTTGTAGATTCTGAAAGAAGACAACACATTTTCTTACACATAAAAAGGTTGAACTCACAATCTATACAAGCTCCTCTATACTATACACTACACTATGACTGGTAATATCTGGAATGACCAGTAGCTTATGGCTAATGTTAGCAAACGTTTGATAAGTATAACTGCTGAGTCATTACTGAGTCATTTAGCTGACTTTGTGATTCTCTTTAAATTAAAATAATTATCACTGATGGCAGCAGTGGACGCTGTTCACCTAGTTATTTTTGGGATGTGTTCATGTTCTAGTTTGAAGTTGCATTTTATTTAATTAAATGTCAAACCAGCATCAATATGTTGTGTTGCTATTCATAATGAATCAAGAATAATTGGCTTAAACTTGGCCTGAATCGGACATGTTTCATTTGCAAACTACATGAACTGAATTTAAAACAAAGTGAAAACAAAAACGTCTCTATTTCAGGAGGATTTTTATTGTAAATGTGTTTTACATATGAATAAAAGCAAAAATATAACATTTTAAGCAACTCTTTATTTATATCGGTTTACAAAGCACAACATATCATCACATGTTTCATAATACATTTTGCTGTATTGCAATTTGCACCAGACAAAGTGGGTGTGCAAGTTTAGAAAATGTTAGCGAAATGCTTGGGGAAGAATACATGTTAAACATTTATCCAGGGATGTATTATGAAACATTTGATAAGCCTTTTTCTCTGTGTTTTGTAAAGAACGAACAAAAGTCGCTTCATTTTTCACTCTATATTTGAATTATCACGTTATGTACTCTTTCTTTACATATATTTAAAAAATATATCACAATCACAGAAATCACCAGAAGAATATTTCAGTTCTCCTTTTAGATGCATATACAGTATTTACATACATTCACAGGCTCAAATATGACACCCATTCAGAGAAGTGTCTCTTCTGATTGTATGGAAGGAATGCTTGATATCGATAGTTCTTCCATACAGCGCCTCTTCAGCTGCTGCGTACCCAGCGCTTAAAGGGTCTTTCAATCATTGTGGGTCAGGGTTTGAGTTAGCAAATCAAACATTTACAAAAACAACCCCATTCCAGTTCAAGCTTTCCTTTCTTCAAATCAGTTCAATACCGAATGATGACAACTGATCCTTGACTTGATGGCACGTGAAACCGTGTCTGTGCAGCAGGCATTTTGCGCCCCCCTCCCCCCCCCCCTCTTTCCGACACATTTTATTTAATCGAACTGAGATGCAGGACGAAGCACACTAAATAAATCTATACAAGTAAATGTAATATGACAAAAAAGCTTAACAGTCACTGTTGTCCTACAGTACAAGACAAAGTCATTTCATTTCATGGCAAGATGTCATTTCATGGCAAGGTCTGTTACAAATATACCTTAAGTAATAAGACCCAAAAAAAACTAAATGAACCATAACAAATCCCTCTTAGATGTTTGTTCATGATGAAATGACACAAAATTCCAGTTTAAATATATAAACAAAAGAAATTGGTTAAATTTGAAATGTCATCTTTCATTTATGATTTCAAATTGTTGGGGGAAGTGAAAATAAAATGTTACTTGGCAAGAGAAGATTCTTAAAGGCGAAGCAACATTTTTACTTCATGCCTCTTTAAGAAAGGAACGAAATGTTGAATTACAATATGCAATATACAGCAGTGTAGCACTGCTTTTCTAAATTTAGTAAAGCGTTTTGTTGCAACAAACTTACCTAGGCTGGTATGACCAGTAGCTTATGGTGTCAAATATTTTCTAACTCTAAGTATTTTGTGCTACTGTTATCCTATGCTAGGTTATGCTATTTGCAGTTATCCTGAAATTGCTATTTGGGTAACAAGGGGTGCTGTTGAGCAAAACGTTCATATTCTGGCTTTGATACTTTTTAGTTGATCTGGTGTAAAACTATTATTTGATGTTGTGGCGCATCATTTGAGTCTCAACAAGTGCAAAAAATATCCATTTGAATTGAATATGTATATCATTTCAAATATTTGTCATAAGCCCTTAAAGACCAACTATAACACTAGCCTTTCCCTGTGTGTCACTAACGTCTTGTATTATTTGACAATTTTTTTGTACATGAAGTACATAAAGTGACATCAAATGATAAATGATATGGCATCACACATGATGAGTTGAAGACAAAACATTCAATTGAAATATTTCACAGATAACCATCGGATTTAGTTGTACCCCACTTGTTTGGGGTACAACTAAAACACTCTCGACCAGATTAGACAACAAGGTTTTACGGAACAGTGAGTCAAGTCAGATCACAATTTCTGGTTGTCTTCCCACAGTAAGTTTTCTGTGTGCCAGTGCAAATTATATGGTGGCATGATGTTTCTTGGTGAGCAGTAAATCAACATGAACATGAGCATTGTTCTTGTGTTTGAGGTTACTTCCTGTAAAAACACTCAAAGGCAACAGAGAGACACTTATTCAAAGCTACAGGAATGTTAATGCATCATTTACTCTGCTGACAAAGAAATAAACCAAGGCCCCAAATGTTCCCAATGTCCAGAAAGCTCTTTTGGTTGGGCAACCAAAAATCAATTCAAGCCATTAAGCGATGAGTTTTTGCTTTTTCTTTAAAACAACATTTGGCTCCAGGAAGGTACAAAATGGGGTTTTAAGTAGTAGCAGACCCCTTAGTTTTTCATTTTTTCATTTATATAAGGCTTTTGACTCCAGCAATAACAATAACACACACACCCCAAAGTGTAAAAATAAAGTAGCAAATCTTTCCTCAAATCAGATCAGCTTAAAGATTTGACAAAAGTTATAATATACAAAAAGCTTATTCCACCTGTGAGGGTGTTGTGTCAAGTAACAGTTTTCTGCTTTAGTTAGTTTTTACAGTCTTTTCCTCGCCACCCAATAAATTATAACAGTACCATGAATGTACGTCATGCGTACACATAAACACACACAAGCTCGAGAGTCCTGCACGGACTCTTTTAAAAGGTGTTTGGCCTTTCACTCCCCTCCCCTCCTGTCTTTCGTCGCACACCAATACACACACATCCACGAGCACAGCAGCCCCCCTTCCCCCCTCTCTGTTGCGTCAGTCTGTCAGAGTGGGCTCAGAAGATTCAGTTGGCAGAGCGTCCTGTCCTGCCGCTTCGTGGAAAGCGGTGGACTTTGAGGTGTTTCGACAGGTGATCGCTGCGGGCAAACTTCTTTTCGCAGACGATGCACTGGTATGGTTTCACTCCCGAGTGGGAGCGGCGGTGTCGGGACAGCTCGTCGGACCGAGAGAACCTAGAAAGGAAACCCAAGATGTCATTTTGCGGAACATTAAGCATCTCTTTTAATACGCTTCCCCTTTCAATTTTTGTTTTTTATTCCCCGACCGTAGTCATCAGTCAATGCTGCCAGAACAAAGCAAATTCAACAGTATTTTGGTTATTTAAAAAGACTACCACTTATGTACATACAACCTTGTTTGTGTACAGCACTTTCTGTGTAAAAAATAAACTATGCCGTCAAGCTTCAAACTGCTGAATAACATAAAAGCTGTGTGAAGCTGTTTTATATGAGGGTAATCTCAGAGGTGTGATGATACATTGTACATGTGTATTGCCCTGCATCTTCTGTGTGAAGTTAAAGAGCCATCCCATATTTAGCTCAACACATGAGTACTGCAAACCCAAGCCCAGTCTATTCCTAGCCTGCTCTGCTCCAGTCTCCATGGGCTCCGGCCAGCTTGGATATCATGCCAGTGAAGGGTTAAGTGGATGATAAAGTAGTGCCTGATGTATCTGTATATATTAGTGAAGCTGTTAAGATCAGATTAATCTGTAACACAGATTTGTTTCCTGTCACATTTCCAGTAGCAGCAGCAGTGGTAGGATGAAGCAATGAAGGCGATAATTCACAGATATAAAGACGCCACTCACAGCTATTTCAAACCATTTCCACTCTCACCATGGATTACATAACCGGCCTATACATCATTTTAATGGTCTAGTAAAAAGATAACTGACAGCTCTTGTTTAGCTACAATGTTGAAGCTACAGCTAAGGAACATGAGCCACACAGACCTGAGAACCTGTTTGGTTTACTGTTAGGCATTGAGATATTTTGAACCTGCAAGAATGTTGACATGTAAAGATGGTGGCTCTGAATCTATTTCCCTTTGGCACGTTCAGGTGCTATTCTAATCACAAGGGTTGATAACACCCCAAGAAGTATAGATAATCAGTCACCATTGATGATTAAACATTGACACGCCAATGTAAACATGCTAACTTGCTGTGCTAGGAAGTGTAATACTTGGTGTTTACCATCTCAGTTTTGTAACATTTGCTAATTAGCTCTAAACACAAAGTCCAATTCTATGGTTTATGACCCAATAAATTATTGGACTCTACAACCTGATTATGGGGCTAAAGTTAGGAGTTAATGGATGACCAACAATAATCTAATTCATTTTGATGCAAATATGTACCAAATGGCATGGCAATCCATCAAATGGTTTGAGATAGTTCACCAAATGCCAAAAGGGCCCCTCATGAAAAGTTCAGAAATCACTTATGTCCGTAGGGCTTATCCTCTTGGAGCCACGAATGTCGCAACAACATATTTAGCAGTCCAACCTGTAGTCGCTAAGATATTTTGTCTGACATTGCCATCTCTCGAGTAACGTCCCAAACATGGCCAAAAAGATAATTTACGTTAAATGCATGGGGTGTATTAATACATGACTTCTATTGAGATCAATGTAGTACTGTTCTAAGGAACAGAACATTTAAATGTCCTGCATCCATATGTTATCACTTAGGAAAGGAATAAACTGTTTGAGTTAAAACAACAGCATAACAGCACAACCCCTTTGTATATGAGCACATTTTCTTCCTGACAGCATTCATGAAGTATTTTCTAGTCTATCTCTATCCAGTGTGTATCTATCTGTGTCTGCTTGGTGCTGGGCAGGTAGCACAGAGATGGTTCATCAGAAGCTGGCTGTTGCAGAAAGATTGACAAGAAAGTTGTGAGTATACCACAACAATCCAGTTGCGCAAAATAAAATCAATGAGCTGAGGGGAACTGCAGTCTGACTACAATTATCCCTGGGTTCGTCACAGCAGTTGATCTATTTCATCATGTATAAAAGCTTTAAAGTGAGAAAAGCCTCCTGGCAAAACAGCTTTGTGTCGACTTGTCTGTCATATGAGTTTGTTAAATGGATTAGCAGGGTTTCTTAATCTGCACAAAGAGGCATGTAGTTATTAAGATATAAATCTGAAACCACATCAGTCCCTCTATGGTCTGCACTTTATGTGCCTGTACATTTGTTCGTTAAGATAATCTATGTGATGCACTCTAAAGCTGTAATATATCAGCTTCAAGCTGGGGCATGATGAAAACCATGAAGCTCTACTACTGACTCAAACTGGCCTGAGCCCAAGTACAACATATTACACTGGGGAGGATCTTTCAACACAGCGTGCATTTAGGACATATGCAAATAGACAGCCTCATTGTTCGTCACATTTTTTTTTTTTCAGTGCGGGGGGGGGGGGGGGGATTTACCATGTGCCAGTGTTTTATCATAGCCTCACCACATGTCTCTCAAACTCATGCTTCTCTTTCTATAACTCGTTTTTTTTCTTCTTCCTAACCATGCTTATCTAACTTTCTAAGGTTTCCGAATCAGTTCCACAGATCTTTGCCAAGTTCCTTGAGGTTCATATCTATAAGGGTGGAGGGCAATTCTGTCTGTTTTTACTTGGACGAGTCCTTGGGGCGATTTGGTGTGTCATTACAAAACATAGTATACATATTAGCGTGGGCGCTGTGGGAAACACGTATGCAGGCTGTGTTCTGGCTTGTTCTGCTCTGCAGCCAAAAGAGCGTAGTGAAATCAGCCGTGAAAAGGTTTGGGCTGTCAGGTTGGTTACACACCTGGAACATTACAGTAACAGAGATATTGGCAGGCACACACAGAGTCTGTCATCTTTATTTTCCTTGCCTCTTTCGTTTTAGCTTATCTCGTCAGATAAAAGCCTGTTGTGTCTCCTGTCACTGTTTATGAGCGGCTAAATTTCAACCGTGCGGGTTGAAAGGGAAAGCATATTAATGCATGACAGCACTAATCAATAACAGAAGTAAGCCTTCTACATAAACAAGCAACCATAAAACTTATTTTGACTGGTTTTTCCAAATTCTCTAAACCAGAGGAGCCGGAGTCAATTCCTCAACTTGTAATTTAGCAGGACACCGGATCCTTCCAAGCTCCACGTGGGCCGTTTTCTCTCAGACACAAATCTTGCGGTTTCCCAGGAGCTTCAATAACATAGCATAAACTCAGTGATAGTGAGGCTCCCTCTACACGTTGCAATTGAGCTCAACGTGTCCAAATATGAAGCTAAATCAGGCCGCTCCGTCACCACCTAACAACATTGTATTGTTGTAGCTATGAATGCATCAGCTGACAAGGACAACGATGACAGCTGCGAGTACACACACGTCACAGTGTTATTACTGCAAACTGTTTGGGTTGGAGCCCAGCCGTCAAACCTAGGGGTCTCCATGCAGGTTTGAGCTGAAAATACTGTGTGTGTTATCTGCATGTGCTCCTTTAAGCGTTTACATGTGACTCTGTCCGTGCGTCCAGATCTGTACATGAACGTAAACTACAACCAGAGTAGAAAAATAAATCCAAAAAAGCTTTAAAAGACAACAGTTTGGCAAGGGAAGCAATATGAAGTTCACTGAGTTATATGAAGGAGTTCAGCCAATGAAATACCACTCCTCTCGACTTCAGAGGGGGAAAACACATGGATCTATTCTAAGGTTACGGAGGCCAAGAGGTGACTCCCCAGCTCACCTCCATTTCCTGGCCCAAAGGGAGAGACGTGAGGAGAGGGCCACAGTATAATACAGTATACTGCTGCTGTCATGTAGTAAATTGTAGTTTGGGGAGGTTGGGGGTATTATATATTTGGTCTGTTGCATGGTCTGCTATGCCTGCTGAAATACATACAAATATATGTATCCATGTGTCTGCTAAAACAACAAAGGGATTCTGGGACATATTTGGCTTTCGACATGAGAGTAGTTACAATCTTTACATCCAACCCTCTGCAATGTTTGCAGGTTTGAACCTTGAGCCAATTATAGTAGCTTAGCATAAATCATGCAAACAGAGGGAAACACTTACGCTGGCAAAACCGGTTTCCAAAAATGTCTTACTATTCCGCTGAACGTGTCATTAAACATGCTTGGGAACAACGGCATGCTACACATGCTTTTAACTCATCTGTCCTTATGAGAAAAAACTAAAGTCAACTAAACAATGCATAAGACATATGTTGTTTTTGGACCAGAACAACTTGACAATACGTAATATGCTTACAAATACTTGGATGTTAGCCCAGAAATATTGCAGAGTGGGAATTTCTTTTTCACATCTGGCGGGTTTTAAGTGTCTGCAGGTGCAGTACAGACTGATAAAGCGTGGAGCAGAACAGCCTGCTGACCAAACTTATCTGATTCCCTCTTTGTCATATTCACAGGCACACTTGCTTTTCTTTCTTTAGCTAAAGCCAAAACAAATTCTAGCTTCACCTTCACACTCAATTCTTACCATGGTTTAACCTTAACCATGATGCTTGACCTAACTTAACCCTGCGTCCGTCCATGTGTGAAAAAAAACATGCACACAAACAGACCCGCGCCATGTGCACCCTTGGGCAATAACTCTACTGTATGTATAGAGGTGGAATTTGCACTTTGGATAGAAGAGGTGAAATCAGGATTTTAGATCAAAAGCAATGATAACAGGACAGAGAATCACGCCATTAGCAGCCAATGAAAACCCTATCGTAGGTCATAAATTAATTCTGGGTCTGCACACTTTGAACTTGAGTCTTCAATGATCATGTATAGTAAACCTCTGCTGCATTAATGTACAGGTGTGGGAGGTGGTTTGCAGACAGAAGGCAAACAAGTGGAGTAACGAGAAAAGGGGCAAAGTCTGCATGCAGCACAACTTCAAAAGCAGTTCTATCTAATCTACAACTTGAACCTTGGTACAAAAACAAACTGATAGCAGGGACACACAGCCAGCATCTAGAATGGAACAAATGGTCCCCATCTTGAATAGACTAGGATATATTTTCCCTAAAGATGCCCCCTTTGCCCTCATAACCATAAATCACATCAATCTAAACTGAGCCAGGTGAACAATCTTGAATATTTAACATGTATTTATGACCCCGTAACACATCCTCTTTCCTGTAAAACAATATCTCCTGCACAAATTGGTGACATGAAAGACATTCTTTGTAATAATGTAAAGGACTTCAGGTGGATGGAACCTTCCAACATGTTTTAGCCCTAAGAAAAAAGTTGAACACACAAACAATAAAACGGTTCGATTCAATTGGTGCATTAACCCTAACCCTAACCCTGTCCTTCCTTAAAGAGTATCAATGAGTCTTCTTATCTGTGATAGCCCCACAATAAAGAACACCTTTTTAGCTGCTCTTTGCACAACAAACTGATTTAATTAATTTCTTCGAAGTCTACACACATTGGATAAATCAATTATCAATAGCTGTTTATGACTCCGCACTGGAAGTTGATAACTGTGGTTCCTGTAATCTGTGTAGCATAGATAAACATATAGAACACGTCACACAGCAAGTGCAACCCAGATACATGTATCAAACCCTTTCATCTGTTTGTCTCGTTCAGTCATTCAACATTCTGATCACTTCTAGATTGCAATGGGTACATCTGAAGGTAGAAAGAGTGTTTGCATATAGCTCCAATGTATCTTTATCCCTCCAGTCAATGGCTGCTCTGATCATTTCATTTATCAATTTAATCATTGGATTTTTTTAACTAAAAGGAATGCAAACCTCTGCAAAAGCCAAATGCCCTCTCGCAGTTTTCACGAAATTCCCCAAAAGTTGATTTCCTTGGCCTCTGCTACATTCTTCATTTCCAAGTTTCATGATATCCTGACCAGTAGTTTTCCCCATAGTCATGCTGACAAACAGAAGAACAAACCAAACTAAAGACAACTTTCTTGACAGAGATAAAAAGGCACTTGGTTCTGCTCACCTCCATCCACAGCCGGGCCACGTGCAGGCGAATGGTTTCTCCCCAGTGTGCCTCCTCAGATGGGCTTTTAGGTGGCTGCTCTTTGTGTACATCTTATTGCAGCCAGGAAAAGAGCACTTGTGCATTTTAATGAGGTCTGCTACTGCACTCTTCTGATACCTCTGACCTCCAACGAGGACCCCTGCATTCGCGCCACCGCCTAACCCGCCTTCCCCCGAGCCCAATGGGTTTCGCGGCAATAGGCACCGGTGCAATCCGGACAAATTTGGGTGAAATGGTGGCTCCGTTTTTGCTCGAACCAGCAATGTTTGTCGAGGAAAGCAGCTGAGGCACCAAGGCAAAGGTCTGCCCCTGGATGCTGACCAGGAGTTGGGCGATTTTTATATCTGACAGGGCCTGGTTCGGCTGGGACTGGGTTTGCTGTGTGGCATCTTCTGATACTGCGCTAGGGTTTGGCTCTTGTTTGATCTGTATGGGCTGGATTTGTAGGATGACAGGCACACTGGAGGCACTTGTACCTTCTGATGAGGCAGGCGGGGAACCACAATCCTCCTGTTTTATCCCATCAACACAGCTAGAACCAGCTATACAACTAGCATCCACTGTTGATGGTGAGCTGTCCATGTCAGATGCACATGGTGTATGTTTGGTCTCTGCATAGGAGGAGAGTGGAGAATGAGCCACAGGCACAGTCTGATCTGAGTTCTGTGGCAATGATGCAAGTTCTCCTGCTAATGTCCTGGTACCTTTCGCCTCAGCATCTTCCGACAATGGCGACATCGCCTCATCGCTCCCCTCCTCTTCCTTCTCCATTGCCACCACCATATTCTCCTCCAGGAACTCCTCAATCTCCTCCAGGGTGGGCTGAAAGAGAAGCGCTGTAGGATCCTGCAGTTCGTCCAGGAAGACAGGAAACTCGTAACCATCCTCTTTGGCCTGCTGATGGATGAGAGTCAACCGCTCCCTCTTGGACTCCCAGGCCAGGCCCATTGGTAAAAGAGGGGCAGATGAGGATGAAGAAGGTGCAGAGGATAGGGATAGAGACGAGTGAGAGCTGCTGTTGGCATTAGAGCTTAATGAGGTGGTAAGGGAGGCATGTGAGAGGAGCAGGTCCAGCAAACTTTCTTGACTCTCTCCTCCGGAAGAGCTACAGCTCCCACTGCTCCCGCTGCTCCTGCTGCTCCTGCTTTCGTAGCTGGAGGCGAGGACGTGCCGCAACGTCGGTGACGAGGACTCCGGGCTGGAGCAGAGGGAGGACCGAGGGCTGGAGGAGTCGCTGAGGTCATCCTCAGAGAGGCGAGGGGAGGAGGAAGGTGCCACCCCTTGGTAGGGGTGGTGGTGATCGTAGATGCAAGCGTCAGTTACCATGCTCCCGGGCAACGTGCCACCATTGGCGTGGTAGTTGTAGTCGGACCCCGGGGAGCCGGTATAGTACAGGAAGGTCTCCTCACCAAGCGGCAAGTGATCCACCATTCCTGTGCGGGTGGATGGCAGCTGGCCTCTGCGCTGCTCGGAAGATCAATCTGTTCTGCTGCTGATCGGCTGAATGTTGATGAGAAACCTCTGTGTTCTATCTGCAAAAAGACAAATGAGTGTGTTTATCATTTGTTATGGCAATGGAAGAACATTGGCTTTGAATTGGACTGCATACCAGCCAAAACTACTTTATTTTGCATGAAAGCAGATACTTTTATATATGTTTCTTAACAGTTAGCAGGTTTGTGCTCTGTAGAGATCATTCCCAAGAAAAGCAGCAAGACAACACAGCAACACTCAGTCAGGTTTAGTCTGACCAGGGGTTAATGTTTCACAAGACAATCCCTCAAGTTCATACTGGATTAAAATAAGTAAACCAGTAAAAAGTATTATTATGATTCGGCCTCTGTCCACTACCTGCTGCTTGTTTGAGAGGTCTGCAGCTGATGGCACTTCAAAAGGAAAGTCAACCACGTGAGAAAGGAAGTGGAATTTGAAGACGTGTGTGTGTGTGTGTGTGTGTGTGTGTGTGTGTGTGTGTGTGTGTGTGTGTGTGTGTGTGTGTGTGTGGTGTGTGTGGTGTGTGTGTGTGTGTGTGTGTGGTGTGTGTGTGTGTGTGTGTGTGTGTGTGTGTGTGTGTGTGTGTGTGTGTGTGTGTGTGTGTGTGTGTGTGTGTGTGTGTGTGTGTGTGTGTGTGTGTGTGTGTGTGTGTGTGTGTGTGTGTGTGTGTGGACCCTGCAGCTGCTGGTTCAGACTTCAAGCTGACCATGTGGAATCAGGGTTCCCATTTCTCACCACTTCGAACATTGAAGCCACATGGTTCTGCTGTCATTTAATGATGTGTTTTATTTCCTTCTAGTGGGTCCTATTTCAGCTTTTGTTGATATAAAAAAAACAATTGCTATTCTGCATAACTTTTAGAGTCAAACCAAGATATACTATCAGAAATACTTTTTTTTAAATCAACTAAAAACCTTGTGCAATGCACGGGTAAAGTCAGCGGTTAAAAGAGAGTTATTTCATAACAGATATTCAGTGTAAGTGTCTATTTATACCCAGCCAACAGCCAACAAACAATGCAGAACATTACATTTACACGGATTAAAAATGCTAGACATTTTCAAACCGGCCTTGAATGCAATGACTGGCTTATGATGATTAAACATGACCGTTAACTCCACTTTTAAAACCTCAAAAAGGCTTAATGTGTGTTAACATGAACATAATAAAAGTTGCTGAAACAATGATTGTGCGCCCTCTCCTGCTTAAAAAATAACCCCCCCCCCCAGAGGTCCTCATAGATTTAAGGCTGTCCAGGGGAAATGACTAGATACATTTTATTATTATTATTATTGCTAATATTACTTCATTGACTTTGACGCTATCACAATCACAGGACCTTTAGGACTAATGTTCTCGTGAGGTGGCACAGCTGCTGTTTACCACCTGATCCAGAACCAAAATTCAACTAAGACATGGTTGCTTATTTGATAAAATCATATGACATCGAAATGAAGGTGAGGGGGGTGTGATGGGCTCTACTGCTGCTTAAGTTTGGAAAGGCAATTTGGAAAATGCCTGGCTTGGCCAAGTCTTTAAGTCACATGCCCTACGGTAACCCTGCCGCCGTGAAACATCAAAGCCACTTTGACAGCATGATGCGCGCCTGGTGTTCACCATGCGCCATGGATAATCAGTTATGGAGGTGAACTCGCGATTTATGACACGTTTAACATCGTGACGGCTTGTCAGATCACAGAAAACAAGTGCCAATATTAGTTTTACATGATATAAACAGCAGCAGGATAATGCATAAAGCTAACAGTGTCCCTACAAGCGTGCATGGGTACTGTAAAAACAAAATGCCATGCTGTAATCCACAATACGAGACAGAAAACATACAAATAAAGTATGAAATCACACAAGCGTTTCTGCTTAGACTCACTTGCACAATTGAGGAATCCAACAATCCGCTCCTTTGCGACTCTTCTCTTGAAAGTAGCCGTCAGTGCGTAATAGTGCGTAATGGCGATGTAACTCCACGACACGGTCTTTGCATTACTCTACGCCTCCACATTCTCTATCTCACACGCTCACACACACGCAAACACACACTATCACTCTCTCTCCAGAGGGCTGGTAGTTCGCTTAAGCGTCACATGATCGGAGATGCTGGGTTTATTACAGCAGGCAAATTAGGGGGTCGGATCATGAAGGCTCGCCTGCTCGGCGCGCCGCAATTGGCTCTGGGTAGATGGAGGCCGGCCTCAGGGCATGGCGTCAGGGAGAGAAGGTGTGTGTGTGTGTGTGTGTGTGTGTGTGTGTGTGTGTGTGTGTGTGTGTGTGTGTGTGTGTGTGTGTTGTGTGTGTGTGTTGTGTGTGTGTGTGTGTGTGTGTGTGTGTGTGTGTGTGTGTGTGTGTGTGTGTGTGTGTGTGTGTGTGGTGTGTGTGTGTGTGTGTGTGTGTGTGTGTGTGTGTGTGTGTGTGTGTGTGTGTGTGAATATAGAGGACTTGGATATGTCATGCGAGGTTGTTTTTTTCCTCAGTGGTTTGACATTTATCGACTTATATAACATTAACATTAAAGCCACAAATAACAGTGTTAAATGTGACATGTTCACTTGGTATATTGTTTTTGAATATTGTTTTATTTATGTAATATAGGAAAGATAGTTCAAATAACAAACACAAACCTATGATTAAATGGCACTATAGCATCACAAAAAGCAAATCCAAATAGGATTGAAAAATTAAGTTTGACAGCATTGATCAATCTAAAAAATGAAATATAGCAACACACACACACACACACACACACACACACACACACACACACACACACACACACACACACACACACACACACACACACACACACACACACACACACACACACACACACACACACACACACACACACACACACACACACACACACACACACACACACAATATAAATAGAAATACAGCCAGGTAGAGCAAAACCATCCAATTCCATGTTGTTTTTTGCTACTTCGTGATGGATTTAGCAATTATACAGTATAAACTTGCTTTACAATGTATTTTTTAGGGAAACTTGAAAATAGTGGCTCAGTCAGTAGGGGCTTGGACTGTGAGCCGTAGGGTCGCCGGTTCAAGTCCCCGACCAAACCTAAATATGGAGTGTGGACTGCTACTTGGAGAGGTCCCAGTTCACCTCCTGCCCCGCCGTGGTGCCCTTGAGCAAGACACCGGACATCCCCCTTCCCCCTCATTCCCATTGCTCCCCGGGCGCTGTACAATAGCTGCCCACTGCTCGTAGTACTATGGGTTAAATGCAGAGGCCACATTTCACTGTGTGTGCTGTGTGCTCTGCATGTGTGACCATTAAAGAGGGTTTCATCCCTCCGATTCGATCAGTTCAGATCAGTTCTTGATGATTGAGCTTTGAATATAACAACTTACCAAATAAGCAGTGTTGTAGAACACATTTTATAGATAGATTCTGGAGTAGGACTCTATTGTTATTTTGTAGATTATTTTACCAACAATTGCTTAAACTGTACTAAAATATTAAATTCATATTAGCGATTGAAACATTTTAGGAAAAGTTGAATGTTTTTTTATTCTATAAATAATTTTCTTAACAGGGAACGTAGTGCTTTTCTGATGTCATATCATCGAATCATATCTTGTCATAGCATATCATGTAACAATGGAGGGAGTTTCTCTCCCACACATCCCCCCCTGCTTGAAACGCCTCCATTGGACTCCTTCGTTTACTACCTAACATTATGACATCACTATGTAACAGTGGTGCTTCTTTTGGCACATTGTATGTGACTAAGGGGCGAGACTTCTCTAAGTGATTGAATAATCACAACAGAGCCGGCCAGCTAACCAATCAGAGCAGACTGGGCTCTGGTTTCAGACAGAGGGTGAAAAGAGGTGCTGCAGCACAGTATGAGAAAAATAAAGAGCTTTTTGAACATTAAAGCATCGAGACATGTCACAGTAGAGACACAGAATACAAATATGAACCTGAAAATGAGCAGAATATGTCCTCTTTAATTTACATAAACTGTTATACATAAGGGCACACATATCAGGTTGTTAGTTGAAAGGGTTCCCTTCTGCAGTCAAGGCACACTTGTTTCAGATGACCACGGACGAACGTGTCTGAGTGACTGAGAGAAAGAGGGAGCCATTGAGTAGGAAAGTGAGTGTGTTTACATGCTGCCTAATAACATCAGTAATAGAAGTTTTGCTTTCACTCCAGCTGGGCAGGCCTCATATAAACACCTCCGCTGGGCTGAAGTCACTTTACTGGCTCCGACCTAATTAGATTTGCTTGCGTAGGTTAGATTACCTTTCACTGTGTTTGGATAAATGATCCATTCTCTGCCTCCCTGTAAACTGTAAGAGTGTTTCAGTGTGTACATAAAATACACACTTGAACTGTAGTGGCTATTATGCGGTGAAAAATGATACACAGCGTCACACTGAGTGGTATGCTTTTCATTTGAGTATGATCTTTTACCTGCTTAGTTATTGCTACTGGTTCTACTACTGCTGCTACTGTTGATGCTATAGTTTCTGCTACTGTTATGTCATTATCTTCCATATGTTTTGCCCTCGAAGACGCTGCACAAACCCTACCATGTACCCTCTCAAAAACTTGCTTGAATTTGTATTTAGGTATGGTACACTAGGCCTACTGGAGTATATTATGTTCTTGGCTACATTCCACTACTGAAGATTTCCAAAGCTACAGAGGCCACATCTACAACAATTGCTGATTCAGGGTCCACTTGTGCTTTTAAAGAATAAATTATATAATGTTTAGTCAGACCACGTCTGTCTCGGAAGGCATTGGTAGTGTTGTAGATGGCCGCACGCATGAAAAGTGCCACAAGTTGTTTCTGAAGCACTGAAAAAGGAGAACTTCAAACCCGGTTTACTATGTCACCTGCAGTCTTGGGGAGTAATGGATTACATAAAAGACGTAATCAGATTATTTAAAAATGTTTGTACAAATGGGGATCACAAGGAGGATTACAATGTAACAATATATCTTTAAAATGATGTATTACGCAGCAGCACATGCACACATTTAAACACTTCTATTAAGAGCAGTAGGTGGACACCTGATTCGTAAAACAAAAATACGGTTTGCTTTTAATTCACACAATAATGGGCCCCTATTATGCAACTTTTCAGGTTCATATTTGTATTTTGTGCCTCGACTGTGACATGTCTCCATGCTTCAATGTTCAGAAAGCTCTTTATTTTTCTCATACTGCCTGTGCTGCAGCTTCTCTTTTCACCCTCTGTCTGAAACCAGAGCGCAGTCTGCTCTGATTGGTCAACGGCTTAGGGATATACCGCCCCTAAGCCTATCATGTACAATGTGTTGGAACACTAGCTAGTAGAAACGTGAGTGTTACAAAGTGATATCCTTTTTTTAAACAAAAGAGTCTGTTCGTTGCTATTACACCTGGGTATGGTGTAATAGCAACGAAATACATTTTTAAAGTAACCCTCCCAACCCTGGTCACCTGATTGTATTAAGAGGGTGGTTTATCATAATCTGACAATGTGTGTGAAAAACGCGGAAAAATTTGGATTCTGAAGTAATTACAATGTTTGATAATCAGCGACATTGTCAGACTATGATGGCGTACTTGGACACCACTTGGGAATGTTGTCAGGGATATTAGTAGCCCAGGTGCTTTTCCTTCTAGTCAACATGTCCGATGTGAATGGAGCCTTTACCTACATGATTCCCCCACTGCTGCTACACACAGTGCAGTATCTGTGATAACATTTGAAGTTATTTATGTTTCCCATCTCAACACTTTTTTTAAACTTTCCCCACAAATGAAATGGACCATGGCTCATTTACCAAAGTCTCAGCTGACCTGCAGTCAGACAGAGGTGCTTCCTGTAAGGCTGTGGCCTATAAAGTCCTTAAAAAGAAAACAGGGCGGCTGCTGTTCACTGCATCCAGTCAACATTATTCCCTCCGTTTACTCACAGATTACATCTTTGCTCACGTCAATAGTCAGCTTGTTAAATACATTAGGAAGTACTGGTATCATGTTGGGCTAGGCTGTACAGGAAGTGTCTCTGTGACCAATTTAAGGTCCCAGGATCTATATTTTCGGTCTAATTTGGTGGTATATTTGAGGAAAATGCAGCGTTTGTAGTGAATACTCAGTAACAGACTCTAATGAAGTCCAGGTTATTTTCCCTGTCCCCAAACTAATTGGATTCGGCTGCTCTCTTCAAACTCTCAAACACCTACGCTTGAATATTATGTAATCCCCAGATGGACCTAATGGGTCAAATTGATTTATTTCCTCTGGTAATGCTTGCAATGGGCCACAAGTGAAAAGGAGAAATGGTGTGCTCGTTGGTTGCATTTTTCAAGGTTGAAGCGATGACAGACGACATCACAAGTAATGCAAAAGAGATATGTAAATCATTTCTAGGCAGTATAGTGTATATTTCTTATTTATTTTGGACAAGGGGGTTATCAAAGTCATGGGATTCTTATGGAAAGATATATATAAAATGTTTCTGATGTTGGCCATAGTGGCAGCTGGGTCACTGTTTTCCCTGAGTGGAGATTACACACAGGTTTGTTTACCCCTTTAAACTGTAACCAGCTTAAGTCTGCCTCACCATCTGACCCCTGCAGCTTTAAACGCTGCCATGTAAACAGGAAGCTGCACAAGTTCACTGGGTGACTCGAGCAGGTCTGAATTCACACCGCTGTGTCCGAGCTGATTATTTTCCTTTCACCTGGTCCGACTCAAGCACATAAGCTTCCATTGGCCTCTTAATGTATACTTTGTCCTTTCCCACTGTATTTGTGTTTCCGTTTTTAAAATCCCTTTTGATTTGGGAAAACCTTCAACATGAAGGTTGCTAACAGGTTGTTGTTCCAAAAAATATTTTTAAATTGATGCAATAAGGCAGGCGTGCTTAGTTCTTATGGTAAATTGGTAACGTCCATTCAATTAGGGCTGTTAACGTTAACGTGTTAACGATAGCGATTCATCTGAAATCCTAAACCCATTAAGAAAATTGACGCAAATTAGTCACATTACCAAGTTTGACCCCAAATTCCTCCCATAATACAAGCAGGG